AAGTGGACAGAAGATGAGCGTAAACTATCAACTTTCACAATTGTAACTTGCACGTGGGTAGTTCACTCCATTCGTAAGCACGGTCTTTCTGGCGAGAGCAGTGAACTTCGTGCTTCCTGTAATTTCAACGACAACATGCCGCGAAAACACAAGACGAAGGAGCGACCTCCACCACGGTATACGTGCGTGCGCACGAGTGACCATACCCTGTAGAGGCGACCGCGTATACAGTGCGTGGGCGTTAAAATGCACTCTGCGCTCCCTTCACGCCATCTCACTAGTCATAATGAAAACACGCTAAATACCTGAGATCCGAGTACCACTTACTCTAGATGGCGTATATAGCTTGCAGTTAGTTATATAAAAAAATAAGCCCTCTGGCGGAGGCAACTCTCGCCGCGTAATTTGGAGTGAGCATTAAACAATTCCTTTGAGTTTTAAATGCGAAGCATTCTTTGGCGAACTTCGGCAACTTTGAGCCTATCTATCTATCTATCTATCTATCTATCTATCTATCTATCTATCTATCTATCTATCTATCTATCTATCTATCTCTCTATCAATCACCCAGCTACGACTTTGATGAGCCCTCCTGGCCGTTTGGATAATGGTATCTATACCAAACATGATATGATATAACATGACTGTATGACAAACATACCTGACTAGTCACAATATGAAAATCATGCGATGCATCTCATCAATGTCATGATAAACATGACATGGTCTTGCTGCTTTTGCGGTGGTTTCATTCACATGATATGTTGCAAAACTGGTATGGCAGGACATGACTGCATGGCGAACACAAGCGACTGACCCAACATCAAAATCAAGACATGTGTGTCATGTAAGAACATGAATACATGCCACACTCATGATGATCTCGCGGCCATTTCGATAGCTTTGCATATACCAAATTTGGTATTACGGGACGTGAATAGATGAGAAGGTATGTGACTGGTTCAAACATGATAATCATGAGACGCGTGTAATGTAACAACATGAATACATGCCATGCTCATGATGCGCCTGCGGCCGTTTCGCTAGCTTCACTTATACCGAATTTATTCATACGGCACGTGAATGGATGACGAAGGCATGACACTGGTGCGAACATGATAATCAGGAGATGCGTGTTATGTCAAAACATGAGTGCATACTAGGCTCACGATGTGCTCGCAGCCGTTTCGCTAGCTTCACATGTACCAAATTCAGTATTACGTGACGCGAACGGACGACATAGGTAAATGACACGTCCAAACATGTTGATCATGGTATGGATTTTATGTAAAACATGACTACATGCTACGCTCATAGCGCGCTCGTGGCCGTTCCGCCAGCTCCGTATATACCAAACTTTGTATCAGGTGACGTTAAAAGATGACGAAGGTAAATAAAACGTCCAAACAGGATAATCATAACATTGAAGTGGTGCACAGCATAATTCACCCCCACTTCTTAATGTTGTGCTTATTTTAAAGTGACCTATCATCCATCCTGATTCGTGCTTCGCATATCATCGATTCCCACTGTACGGGGGGTGTGCCATTTTGTTTTTATTTTGGTGTGTTGGCGCATGCTTTAGAGTCATACCTATGAAACAAAATACGTCAGTGGAGCCGTTCTGCACCCTGGCAAAGAACATTTTCTTCTTAAGCAGTCAGAGGACGCCTGCACTTCACCTCCAGGAGCAGTAGTATTAGCATAATCGGGCGTCGTGCAAGCCGCCATGTCAGTTGCTAGCCTAGCTACAGATTTTGGTGCATGCCTCAACCATGCTGCAAGGGAGCGAATGACTGCGTGCGTATCTGTCGCTGTTTAAGTTGTCCTGAATGCCTGCTGCAAGTACAGTCAAGTGCCCACTCCACCATTATTCTTCCTTCTAGGAATCTGTGGAAGATGTGCAACGCGTCCGTAAGGCGACTTGCGAACTTGAGCAATACCCTACATTGTGGAATTTCTTGCGGCTGTTGATGATAAACATGCTTAAGCGGTTTAAATGGGCCTTTAAAACACCCAGCAACTCATTTGTTTTGACACCAAGCGAGATTCTGCGCTTCTTCCATGAAACAATATTCCTTTTAAACTATAAACTCTTTTCACAGTATTGCAATCATTCATTCTTGTTTTGTTTTTTCTAAGTGGTTTTCGGGAATATTGTGGTTCTGTGGCAGAACACGTGCTTGCCACGCAGAAAGGTTTGTTTAGATTTTCAGTCAGATGGAAGATTTTTTTTTTATTTACTTGAATGCAAAATGAATTATTTGACGTGGTCAAGATGATAATTTTACTCTCATATTGAACCACTTTTATGCGACATTTTTGTGAAACGAACTCATTAACGCTATATATTTGTTAACAAGGGCTTACTACAAGTGTAAAGTTCTTCAATAATTTTCCTTATGGCCAAATTGATACTTGAACTGGGGCAATTTCATGCTTATTACTCGTTTAAACTAAGAATAAAATATTCATTAACTGTACAATAAACGTGAAGTCCCCTTCGCATGCTTCAATGAATTTTCATCGTCTGTTTACTTTTAGGCGCTCCTTCTCTCCGCTTCATTGTCCTACAGCAAATGCCATGTGGCAGAATTGACGTCAATTTATTATGCGTAAAATATCTGAAAGCAGTTGTACACCAAATTTGTGATGAAGAACGTTTATTTGAACTTGATTGACCATTGCGCACTGCTTGGAAGATAGGTCATATTTAAATTTTTCATAGAGCGACAAGCTTTGGCCTACGGCCCGGTGGCTACGGTCGCCAATACACAGGAGGTTGAACTCCATTTCTCATAGCTAATTACTACTATCACCTCAGTCCAACAAGCTCCATTCAAACAGTGTTTCAAGCATGTTTGAGCATACTGTAATCACCATCATTATTTCTTGTTCTATTAAGAGCTGTTTTATTTATTACGAGTACATAGGAGTCTTCAAGGTATGAGGAGAGTAGACGCCCATTAGTCATGCTAGTTCCAAAGAATGAGCAATAAAAGAAATGATTTATTAAGCGTCAATTCAACAGGCGTTATTTACATCAGTTATTCGAGATTAACAAAATATTTTAATAGCCTTGACGTTGTACTTGTAAGATATATATATATATATATATATATATATATATACATAAAATGGCAGATCCCGCATACAATGGGAATTGATGATATGCGAAGCACGAATGGGGATTGGTGATTGGTCACATTAAAATCAGCACAACGTTAAGAGGTGGAGGTAAATTACGCCTACATGACTTCCGTGTCATTATTATCATGTTTGCACGCTTCATTTACCTTTGTCATCTAATAACATTACCTGATACCAACTTTGGTATAAATGGAGCTAGCGAAACGGCTGAAGCGTGCTATGAGCGTAGCATGTAGGCGTGTTTTACATGGAATCTATATCATGATTGTCATAATTGGACTTGTTACTTACAATCATCGTCCATTGACGTCATGTATTATTAAATTTAGTATATGTATAACAACTGAAATGGCCGCGAGAACGCTATGAGTCTAGCATGTAGTCATGTTTTACATGAAACGCATGATATGATTATCAGGTTTGGACGTGTCTTAGATTTGTCGTCTATACCCTTCCCGTGACACCGAATTTTGTACATGTGGAGCTTACGCAATGGCAACGACCGCGTCATGAAGGACCTAATATACTCCAACGCAACGTTGACGCACACGCAGGCTCGGCGCAGCGACGCCACGCTAGCAAAACACGAGCACTCTATAGTGTGACGCCAGGCGCGACCGGCACCACCAGCGTCCGTCGGTGCGGCCCGGTGCCAACCGGTGCGAAATATGACATGCTGCATTTTGCGCCAACGACGTTACTTAGACTGCACCGCGTCTGCCTCTCTTCGTGACGAATGAACGCCGTGTGTGCTGGAACGCGCCTGCGTCAAAGCAACGGAGCGTGGCGCACACCTGGGCAGATCCACTGAGCTCTACTATAAGGGGATATCGGCGCCTGGCAGGGAATTAAATAAAATATAACAAACGCCAGCGCGCACGCGCCGGCTCAAGTCGAAATGTATTGGTGCCTTGAGAGTGCCGTGTACTATTCTTCTTACATGACGCGCATCTCATAATTATCATGTTTGCACCGGTTACATACCTTCGTCCTTCATTCACGTGAGGTAATACCGAATTTTGGCATGGGTGAAGGTAGCGAAACGGCCATGAGCGCATCGTGAATGTGGGACATTGACAGTTGTTACATGACACGCATATCATGATCATCATGTTTGGACGTGTCATTTACCTATGTCATTCATTCGCGTCACGTAATACGAAATTTCGTACATGTGAAGCTAGCGAAGCGGCCGCGAGCGCATCATGAGCGTTGCTTATAGTCATGTTTTTACATGACATGCATGTCATAACTATCATGTTTGCACAAGTCACATACCTTCGTCGTCCTTTCACGCCCCGTAATATCAAATTCGGTATATGCCAAGCTAGCGAAACAGCCGGAGCTCCGCACTACGGCGTCTCTCGTAATAATATCGTGGTTTTGACACGTTAAACTTCACATATCAACATATACCAAATATGGTATCATGTGACGTGAATAGACGTCCAAACTAGATAATCATGGTATGCGTGTCATGTAAATCATGACTACCTGCTGCTCCCATAACACGCTCGCGGCCATTTCGCTACCTCCACATATACCAAGTTTGGAATCACGTGACGTGAATAGATGACGAAGGTAAATGACACGTCTAAACATGATAATAATGATATGGAAGTCATGTATGGCATAAATTACGTCCACCTCGTAACGTGGTGCTGATTTTGAAGAGACATATTGCCCGCCACGTTGGCCTAGTGGCTAAGTTACTCGACTGCTGACCCACAGGCCGCAGGATCGAATCGCGGCGGCGGCGGCTGCATTTCTTAAGCCCCGACTCCACGCACGCGTTCGCGCGCGAGATTCCACGCGCTCACGCGCCTATGCGCTACCTCGTGACGGCCGGAGACGGCGCGCCAGGCGAAGCGCGCGCGTTCGGAAAGATCTGGCTATGCCAGATATTTTTACACGCGCCGGAAGTTGCTCCCTCGGCAGCAGCCAATCAAACGCCGCTGCTGCGGGCTTCCGCTCCTCTTGTCTCTCAGCCGCAATGGCCGCCCTCTGCAAGTTGTCGGCGATGGCGATCGAAAACGAAAAACTAATCTCTTGTGTGGCCAGCCGGACGTCCTTGTGGCTGGCCACGCACAAGGACCACAAGAATCGGCAAGTGAAAGAGGCCCTGTGGAAAGAAGTGGGTCAAATAATGTATCAGGGGAAGGCCAGCAAAGGTACGTACGGCGCGTCTCCGCCGGCTTGACAGGTTGTGTTGAAAGCAGTGGCTGATATTTCATTTCGTCTACGCAGAGTGCATCACTGCGCTGCAAAAGCGCTGGAAGTTTTTGCGGGACAAGTTCCGAAGGCTGTTCGTGCTAGCCCAGAAAAAAAAGAAAAGCGGCATGGGCACGGAAGACGCCGACACCGAAGATGAGGGCGATGAAGGGAACCCGCCTGCCGACAGTCCAGTGCAGCCGGATTCGTGGCCCTTTTACGAGCAGCTGTTGTTCCTGCGCGACACCATGACCTTCCGAGAGTAAGTTTATTGACGCTTTTATTGGCATTACGAACTAGCGAAAGAGAAAACCTCGCGTATTTTTCGCGTTGAATAAAGTAGCTTGTGATTGTGAGCCTTGCCGCTTTCGGGAATGCTGGCGAAAGTTGCTAATACGCCACAAAATTTTACACGAAACGCGACGAGTAAAGGTAAGAACGCACAAAGAGTGCTTCTTGCGTATGTGTACACACTGTACACACCCAATGTGCATACTTTTGCGCCGTGCCCCGCGTTCCCGCACCAGAATAGTCTTGATTATTGAAAGCTAAAAATTGCTTGCAACAGTACCAAAACCGCATCTGTAACGTGCGGTGTAATGCGAGGTTTAAACTAGGGATGCTCTAAAAGTGGAAACCTACAGTAATTAAAACTTGCTTGATTATGTCACGCTGAAGTCAACAAAAGTGAGCATGTTATTGCTCACAGTGATTGGTGGGGCCGCACATTAGAGAAGCAGTTTTGTCCAGATGCAGAAGTGATTCCCTTTCAGTTCTTGGAAGCGTATAGAAATTCTACACTACTCAGATGTACAAGTGGTGCCAAAGGTGCCCAAACCCTGTTGCATACAGTCATTATGCTGGACATCTTTAAGACAGCTGTAGAGGATGCAAACAGGGGGCAGATCTTGCACATACATTATGGGAATTGCTTCGAGCTATCTCTTAGAACCACATCATTGTTAGTGATGAGCAGTGGGAGACTGCTCCTCAGCTCAGATCCGGCAGATCAGCTCTGGGACATTCAGTTAGCCGAAGACTCTGTTAGGACCCAAAGGCACCTGGCTGATGCCTAGGATGGAAGGCTAGCCCTACGGAACTGGACAAAGAAATCTACTTTCCCTCTCCCCCCTTACAATTAAAAACAAAACAATTATAGTGTTCGCACACACTATGCTATAGTGTAACAAGCATGCATTTATTAACAATGGGAATGTTGGCATGTTTGACGTTGCATTAACGATCGCCTGTGTAAACACACTTACTTGCTGAAAGGGTCTGCCGGCAGCCGCAAGTTAAAAAAGGAACTCAGAATGGCATGCGAGATCCATGAGGCGTTCTGTATAACACAATGCAGCAATGAGTGTGCTAGTACACAAACTATGGTTGTAAGAAGCATACATTTATTAACAGTGGGAATATTTTGCCATCTTTCAGGGCAAACATTGACACTTTTTTACACACCTATACCCTAATACATACACCTTCATTTTTGCTGTGCAGGACTTCTGGAAATTTCGAGTCCCAGAGGAAACAAAGAAAGGATGTTCAACAGGTGGCACGGCAGGAGACCCCGGAAACCCTTTTTAGAGATATGTGTCCCAGCCAGTTTGACACCATCGAGTTAAATCAGACTGATGACCCCGTCGATCTCTATCCAGCGCCGGCGGTGTCAGTTGAGTGTAGTCCGTCGCTACTGGAACCAGGAATGTCATCCCTTGAAGCGACGCAGTCAAGTGAGTCGGCACCATCACCGCTGGGAACTGCGTCAGCGCTTGGGTTGGCGGCAACGTCACTGGAAAGCCAGGGGTCCAGCCTTGCCAGCATGTCTGTGATGCAGCCACCCAAAAAAAGACAAAAGAAAGACGACAATGACAGTTTGCTTGTAGAGCACCTTGGAAAACTTACAAACAGTCTAGAGGACCAGGACGACCATCATTATTTTGCATTGTCGCTTGTGAAATCAATGAGAAAAGTAAAAGAGGAAGACCACTTGCGCATGCGCATGAAGATTCTGGAAGTGATCCAGCAATTTAACAGTAGCTGAAGTGTGGTGCTTCTTGTCCTTAGAGCTGACAAAGCGTGGGCATAGAGATTGAGGCATGTTGCAATATGAGGCATGGTGCAATATGAGTGGGCCAACATTACATGGCTAAACATGATTCTGGGTGTCTTTGCTATTAAAGGAGAAGTTTACCTTCAGCAAAATGGGTGCAGCCCCTGCTCTTCCAAGCGCTTCAGGGCCCCTTGTTTGGAGACTCCGGGCTGGTGCCACTGCCACGGTACCTCTCCAGCGCTGCTGCAAAAGTAGGCCGAGAAAAGCGTCCTGGCATCCGCAGCATCTGCACTGAAGTTCCGTGACTGGGATCCCTGAAGCGGGAAATAGCAGGGGTCCACATGCCCCTGCCCCGACGTCTGCTGGATGCCCTGCCTCCACCGTCCTGGAACCACATTTCCGAACCTGTCCTCTTGGTCGAGTATCTGCTCCGATTCCTCATTTAGGATCGCTAAGAAATTATGCAGTACACATGCTGCCTTCACTACATAATCCACATTCTTGGGGAGAAGCTGAATGGTGCGGAGCAGTATGCGCCACCTGGCCGCTGTGATGCCGAAGGCGTTTTCAGCACACCTCCTGGTAACATGAAATAATAGTACAAAACAGGTTTTAGAAGCAGCCACCTTTCAAAGCCGATTCATTAGACTATTCTTTAAAACTGCAGCTACAAGAATGGCAACGTAAAATAGGCACAGTGCTCATAAGCTCGCGTTTTTTTGAAGTTGAAGTTGAAGATTATTTAAGGCAAAAGCAAAAAAAAAGAAAGGTACAATTTGCCTAGGGGACCGGCGAAAAGGCATAAAAGCCTGACAAAGTGCCTGCCCCCTGTAAACCCAAAACCCACCAAAATAACACAGTGCTCAGTGTAAAGTAACGAGTCAATAAGAAATTAAGCATAAATATGTTTCTACATGCAAAACATGTACAGGAAAACATAAATGAGCGAAAATTTGCGCAGGAGATGAAATCTATAAAGCATATGCGTGTCCGACAAATGAAGCAAACTGTAGAGGACATAAACAAACACTAATGTAAGACATGTAAAATACCTGAAGAAACTTTACACTTGATTACAAGGTTTCAACAATCAAGAGACAGCAACATCAATAAGGAATATGTTTGATCGATAAATGAAACACAGTTTAGATAACATAAGCAAACCTTAATGTGATATATACAAGAAAATACTTCAGGGAATATGAGACAAAGATGGTGACGGTGATTATGTTTGTGTAAATAGGAAGTGTTCCTGTATCTTCTTTTTAAAAATGCCATATGAGACTGTATTGTCAATTAGAGAAGCTACAATCGGTTGTTCGTTCAAGAAATGCGAAATTTGATACAATAGTTTTTGTGTGCCGTAATTTGTACGTGGTTTCTCATATGTATACACCCTGTGCCGTAGGTTGTGACTGATCTCTCGGGAGATGCCTCTGATAAAACCCTGTGCGATCAGTTCGTACCTGTTTATAAATAAGCATTGCCAATTTTTGTTTCAAGACGTTGGTTACCGTAAGTATTTTAGAATAAAAGCCCTATGCTCATTAATTGTACATAAAGAAATCCTTTGCGCTTATTTCTGTACGGCCTTCTAGAGAAGCAACGTGAACCGCTAATTCAAATAAGCATTTATGTTTGTAATGTAAGGTTAATCACAAGTCGCACAAGCTGCTACGCATGCCCTATTTTTCTGAGCTGGGTAAAGGACACTTGTTATTGAGATGGGGTCACAAACATTGTGCACGGTGCACACCTCAATTTGACTTGTGCTTGCGAGATCGTTTTGTCATAATGATGGTTTGTACTAAGTGTGGTGAGCTTTTTATGTGCCCCTTCTGTTTTTAGATGTTTTTCCTCTGAACTGTTTTTGTTCAGCTGCTTTGTCCGCAAGTTAGAGCCACTGTTCTTGAGCTACGGGGTTGACTATATGCACTACATTGTGAAATTAGAGCCACTGTTTTTAAGCTATGCATTTTGTGTTCATTGTTTTTATTTTTCTTCATCGATGTCTTGCTGCGAAGTGTGCATTAAACGTTATTTCAAGTGCTTTCTGTGTTTGTATAACATTGAGTATGGCAGGCTCAGCATACCCAAAGAAAGTGCCTGATATCATACCGTGCTCGGCTTAGTCTGTAATTGAACACTCTTCGTTCATCTTCAAGGAGTCTAGCAGGGAAAGGGCGCATAAAGTCGCGCCGCAGCTGGAACGCTTCATCCCCGACGAAAGCGTACGGCGCCACCTTTGTGGTGCCTGGGAGCTGCCCCAGTGAGGGGATGTCAAGCTGCCCTTCGGTTAGGGCCTTCCCAAACTTCGTGTTCTTGAACACTCCGCCGTCACTCTGGCGGCCCTCTACCCCAATATCGACCAGCACGAACTTCGAAGAGCTGTCGACCACGGCCATCAGCACAATGGAGAAAGTACCCTGCAGCAGTAGGCGTCAGACCAAACATTAGCACATGTAAAGTTGTATGTGTAGGTGGGACCTACAATAATAAGCGATTACAAAGAAAAAGTATGACAAAATTTACAAAATCACCTATGCTGGCCACGCATTTATTTGTACCAGCTCATTGTGAAAGATTTCTGGCATGCACAGTGATAATTTAATTTAGCTGTAAGGGCTCTGAAAAACACCTCTGTTGAAATTAAATTTCAAAGTAAACATCAAATCAAGCTGTCATAAGTACCTGCCGCAGCACTGGAAGAATACTGCATACATGAAGTATTCTGGCAAAACGACATAGACCACGGGGCTGTATTTCTTCGTTTTGGCAAACTGCGAGCTCAGTCCCCTTCTCTGTCTCCCTCTCTCCCCTGCTTTCTGGAGCCCATGTGCACCATTCAAAAGTGGTACATAAGAAAAGAAAAAGTATAGCATTGCAGGGCAAGGCTCTGGACGTTGTCCAAGCATTTTAAATTAGAAGGTAATTTAAGAAAGGGGTGAAGAATTTTAGGCAACTTCCTGCATTACAGAGTTTGGAAGCTTTTTATACCACTGCACTTAGCAACATTTCTTTTTTAATTGTCACAGTTACGCTACTGGCACCGCACCCCTACAAATGGGTGGTGCACATTCGCTGTCTATGTTGCCACCACACATTCTCCAGCAGACAAGGGCACACTACCGTTCCCGCATTAATGCTGTTCGTTTCAGTATACGTGCATAAATGGCCAGACTGACTTACCTTGTAATTGAAGAAGGCACTTCCAGATTTCGGCGGGCAGGTGATGGCGACGTGCTTCCCGTCAACAGCCCCCAAACAGTTTGGGAACTGCCAACGCCGGGTGAAGTCGCCAGCAATCTTGGCCCAGTCAGCCTTGGTTGGTACCTGGAATAAATTGGAAACCAGGAACAAACTTGTAGGCCGAACAGACCTATTTTTAGCTAAATATCTTTGTGAGGTGGAATGTGAGAAAATGACATTCACTTTTCTCTTGTGCATGCTCTTTGGGCATGGATCCACGGCATGGTGAACCAAATTTTGTACAAGGTGTAAGCTTCCAATCATGCTGAAGGCATGGTGTCACTTTTGTTGCCCAGTTGTACACGGTCAACGCAGTGCATTTTGCCACCCCATTTTTTATTTCGACAACACAAAGGTGTGATTACTGCATTTTGAAAACCAGAGTAATCAAATAGACATAGTTCACCAGGCTTTCAAAGCCCATAGAGATATATTGTATTTGCTAATCACAATTGCCTTAGGCACTGTCAATAATAAAAAATTTTTTTATTTAAACAGAGTCTTCGAAGGAATTGTTTGTACTGCAGATATGAAGTGTACCATTTACAGAAAAAAAATTTTATACAGGCTCTGACGTTACCCACCTTCATAAAGTGGTCCTTCAGACGAGCCCAAATGGCTCTACAGGTCACGTGAATGCTTCTCCGGGCAGTTTCAATGCCGACACGGTAGGCGAGGGCCACATTGCAGATGTCCAGCCCTGAAGCCAGGTAGCTGCAACACAGAAAAAGTAATTTCTCCTCCGATTCACAATACATGGCCAGCACAACTGCAACAAAAGTGTTTGATAACATGCAAACTCTGAACAGGATTGCCTCTTTAGGTAACAAGCAAATGGCAATATTGTTTTCTGACACGAAGGGGCATCTATATTAAAAAAGTTTGAAGACTTGGCCAATGTGAGAAAGCATGAATGATTGCAACGCCCATTTCGCCATTTCACAATGCAAAAGCCATTTGTATAAGCTGACGTATGCTTCTATGATCTGTTCACTGACATGTTTATGTTCTTGCATCAGCATCAGAAGGCAACCTGTACCAACCTCAAGGTTATTGCAAGCCTTTCGCCTGGCTCCAGGGGCTCTCGTATGAAGTGCTGCCGTGTCAAGTCCGCAGCAACAAAGCCCAGCAACTTGTCGAACAGCGCGGGTGACATGCGGTAAAACTTAAAAAAAACTGCTGGTCGCCTTCCCGCATTCGACGCATCTGTAGGGAGAAATAAAGTGTACTGTTGAAGATGGACACAACCATTTTAGTTACTTGTACACAGGGTAAGCCAGCTCCAATGGGCTATGAAAAGGGTAGATAATTCAGCATGCATTTATAAGATGCACAGGTACCATCTTTAAGGGAGCTAGCTCATGTCGCAGCTACAAAATCTGGTGAATAAAATGGAGCATCTAGAGCACTCTGGAATTTTATTTTAGTTTATACCAAGCGCATTAAACGTTTTCTTAGCGCGGCACACATTGTTTAACCTCTTTTGCGCAAAAAGGAACACGCTAGCTGCGGGTTACAAGGCGGCGGAATGCTTCGCTCGCGCAAACAAAGCGCCGACAACAGACGAGAAGCGAGCGCTTACAACGTGTGCACCCCACTGTTGGTCATGACGCTATACAGCTTTCAGAAAACACAAACAAAAATTCTCGTTGTGACTAACCAACTCAGCTAACCATGCCTACAATAATAGGGCTAAGCATAACTGCGAAATAGCAACACGATACTCACGGCTGTGTGGTACA